CATTGATTTTGCTATGTATCTAGACATCAATATGTCTAGATACATAGCAAAATCAATGAATCAAAAAAGTCAAAACGACATTTATTTAAAATAGGAGGGAGTATATCTTAACCTTATCCAAAATTTTATCAATAATATATATGTATCATATATATATGTATATCTCATAACAAATTCATACGAAAAATGTATAAATAAAACTAATAAATAAGGAAAATCTGTACAAAATAAATAAAAGGAACTCAATCCAACAAACGAACGAAGCTTGAACCGGGAGCTTCAAAAAAAGTCCAGAGAACAATTGAAATGAACTGCAAGGAGGAATTCGATCTCTTGGTGATATCGTATAATAGAATACCGTTGTATCATATATATATATATATATATATAGCGATGTACTGTGTTGCGCAACATTAACAGTATTGCGCCAGATATAGAGATGCATTGTGCATTCCTTTAATATGACGCAAAATTATAGCAATGCACTGAGGAGAAAAATTGCACAACTCTAGCGTAATACACGAATGTAACACAGCGCTGGAGATGGTTTAAGAGCTATGTGTTGACGGTCGTAACCGCCAGCCTTCCCCATTTGGGGGGGTCGGACCCCCGATAGGCCATGACCATGCACCGAAGACTCATGAACTTTTACAGTGCTCTTGTCCTAGGGTGAAAACTCATGTTTGAACTCTCTATGGTTTTTGCCCTCCCAATGACTCGAACTCTGCACCCTGATCATAATGGTGACCATGATGCAAGGATACGTGTGGCGATCCGGACAACTTAATTATCTTAAGATTGGATTGTCTAGTACAGGGTATTAAATGTTGAGTGACTAAATATCAGAAAAGACATCTTGTAAAAGAAAATAAAATGAAAATCTCAAAGAGGATTGTAACGAGCCCTCACAGTTCAGGAAGAAGAGACAACATTAAATACAATGAGTAAATGTTCTTATTAATTTTATAAAGTCACAAATAGAATACCCATTCATACCAATTCCCCTATATAACTTTATTTGTGCAGACAGTACAGAGTATATATTTTAGTATATGTTTCGAATTATTATTATAAATTAATTTTTTAAACAAATATAAAATAATTTTTAATGTACATAGATCAAATATTAGTTTTATTAATATATATTATTTTATTTTTCAATAGTATTATCTTTGCAAAGGAGATAGTTGATGGAGGTTTACATTTTTATGGTTAAGTTGACTCATATGGAAGAATTTATTAAAATTTTAAAGTATTCATTAAATTAATATGATTCAAACATAATTATTCAAATTAATTTATGATATAGTTTAACTCCTTATATCGATAAATATACTAACTAAATTAATATCTACCATCATGCATGATAATATATTTAATCAAATCAATCTCATAATATATTTATATTTAATTTTGTCAATAAATTACTATGAAATTAAAAATAAGATATAATCAAAAATACATCTAACCAATCTACAGTCAAAATAATTCTATTGATGTATAGTTAATGAATATCACTTATTGAGTACAAAAAAGGAATTATCTTTTTCATACATAAATTTGTCAATAAATAAAGATTAATTTACTGCCAAATATAGACAAAAAATATTTTCCGGCAAAAACTATGTCAATTATAACAATATGGATTGGTCCATTATATAGATATAGATAGAGAGAGAACAATTCATTTCTATTTCAACAATTCATTTTCATTCACCTTTTAATTTTTATACAGCTAGTCTATATACATTCCCCATATAATTCATAACTACCATCTTCTCTTGCAATTTTTTT